GCCCTCGGCATTCCCATCGCCAAACCTACACCCAACCTCGCTCGTCTGAGGTTTTCTCCTAGCTAGGCTAGCCCTACATTAGTCCTTGCATTCATTGTATTCTCAGTTCATTCAGTCACAGCCTCGTTATTCGTTTACAACTCATAACAAAGGGCCTTTGAATGACATCGAAGAACTCAGGATGGGGTAGTGGCTGAAATACAAAAACTAAGGGCTAAGATCTTAATGTCAAGATAGGTTGCTAGGGTTTAGTCTTAGGAGCCATGCTAGGAGGTAGAGTGTCGAGGGAGTTGGCAATGAAAGAGGACTTCACTATAGAGTCAAGGGTACAAATATGATAGGAAAGGGGGTAATCCACCAAACAGAATGTGATAACTACACTACTGCTATATCTACATGCAGTTACAGTAATATAACTCTGACACTTAACACGTGTTTTCTAGCATGGGAGATATACAAATTGCATTTATGGGAAGTATCAAATCGAATACAAACATGCAAGCAATAACGCGGTTCGTGCGAACTAGCTAGTGCGATGCTGGCATCGAGGTTCAGGCTCAGGCTAGTCCCAAAGCGTAGGCCGACGCAGGCCAGCCCAGCGATGCATGGTTTGGTGAATAGTGCGCGCGAAGGCGGCGAAACACAACAATGTTACAAATACACTTTGAGACACTCCCAACCTCCCATATCATCCTAGCGTGTGTTTTCCGCACGTTCCAATCCAGTGACATGCAGGCCGCTACACTTCCTCAAAGTCCTTTGAAAACTCACGGTACTTCTCCTCCTCGCTCGCCCTTGGCCTTCCTTGCCCTGCCCTCCACCCCCATCCCCCCTGCTCACACCCCCCGTTTCTCCACCTCCCAAACCTACCCCACCTGCGTTCCCCCACACCCCCCTCCACGCCCTGCCCACTCCCTTGCTCCTTGCCACGTGTGCCGCTATTGCCACTGCTATTGCCGCTTCCAACGCCGCTGCCATCCAGCACGCTGCTCTCATCCTCCCATATCTGCGTTGATGGCTCGCGCGTTCCAAACCGAAACACTGACCATGGCCCTCCCGAGCCACCCGTCCCCGAACCAGACCCCTGCTCGCCGTCTCCCGAGCCTGGTAAACCCGTTGGTGGGCTCATGCCGAACCTGGCGAGAACCTCCGAGGCTAGCTGCTCGGCAGCGCGAATCATGTCCGGGAGAGAGGGGAGGTCCGCGGGCAACGAGGGGGATGTAGGGCCGCCGGGGTGCGAGTGAGGATGGGATGAGGACCAAGGGGTAGTGGGTGCGGGGTGGGCAGAGGACGAGTGGGGGTCAGATGGGGGGGGGGAAGGAGGCAGACGGGAGGAGAACGGGGAAGGAAGAGAGAAGGGGAAGTGAGAGAAGGGGGACGGGAGGGAGGGCGCGTCGGGAGAAGGGTGCGTGGATGTGGTGCCGCCACCACCATAGGAGAAGGAGGAGGACGAGGAGGAGAAAGTGGAGGAGGAGGAGGAGGAGGAGAGCGCGGAGCCTGGTGGGAGCTCCTCCCGAGTGACCTCGGTGTGCGATTCCACCACTTCAGACGGACTGAATGCGTACGAGGGGGGTGTGGTGTGCACGCATTGGAAAGCGGGTGAGACGGAGAGATGGAGGGATGGGTGGGAGCGGGAGCAGAGAGGGCGGGGGGCGAGGGAGGGAGCGGTTGAAGGGAAAGAACGAGGGGGACAGACGAGAATACGAACGACTGGTCCGCGCGCTCCGCACGCGAATGCGCATGGGTTCCTGCGCTGCACACGCCACGGGCGCACAGTGTGCGCGGAGGACTCAGCGCGTGCAGCTGGGAGCAGGCAGCGCTGCTGTGAGTGCGCACGGCACGTGTAACGCCTGCGGACTCTCACAAGCCAGATGAGACGCACCGTCGAGACCTCTGGATTCTAGCTCTCGTATTTCTTACCATCGGTCTAGGATCCTATATCGTAATTTTTCTCCTGGCTTCCTTCGGGGGTTATAGCGAAGGAAACCGGGAGAAGAACAAGCCCGCGAAGGCGAGAAGCACAATACCTTGGCGAAACGTTTTTTAGTGGCCACCGCGACTGCCGCGCCATGACGCGCATAGCACAGACCAGCAGAACACGCGACTCAGGGATGGCACAGCGAGTGCAACGATACATTCCATCCCGCCCGATGCACATACACGGGTCGCGTTCTCCGTCGCATCCTCTCAGAGGCTCTCTCGCCTCCGCCACGCACCCGCCACTCACCGGCCGACGCACTGGCGCAGCACCTCGTGCGTGCGCTCGCACTCCTTGAAGGGCCGCCCGTCCTCGTCGCGCACCACGCGGCACTGCCGCCGCTCCACGCGCGAGTACCAGCACGACGCGTCCGAGTCGCCGCCGCCGCCGCCGCCGCTGGTGGTGCTGCTGGTCACTGCGGAACTCTCGCCGCCGTCGCTCGCGCTGGTACTCATGGCCGCGCCTCGGAGATGCGGTTCGGATGAACGAGTTGGTGACAGACTGAAAAGCGAAAACGATTGCGGGTTGGAGAATGCTGTGATGTGATGCGATGTAGGATGTGCTGTGTGGGGGAGTGGAAGGAAATGGCTGTGTGGCTGGGATGGGGTGCGTGTGTTGCACGCAAGGGGGACAGTACACCGGCGAAAGTAGCTGGTTATTTTCCTGAACAGAATATCACTACTAAATTTGTAGTGAGACACGCTTTGGCGAGTACAGAACCTTCGGGTTTGTCTGGGGTCAATTGAGTTTGAAAGGTTTGGATGCGAGGACAAAGTGGGCTGGCTGAATTTCGCGAACGCAGTTACTTGAATCCAACGAAATGATATGCAAGGAAGCAGGAGGTACAGTCAGAAAACCCGAAGGTACGAACTCGTTACGTTACACAAAATCGGATGCAACACGAATCAAACTCCACTGCGGCTGCTGCTTGTCCTGGGCTCCTGGCATGACTCCGACCACCACCGTCCCGCGTCCACCGACCCACCGACACACCACCCTTCCCCCGTTCAAGCGCGCGTCGCCGCCCTCCGCCGTCCGCTGCCGCGCGCCCTTCGCACACCCGTCATCCCGCACACCCTGCCGCACGCCATCCCCCTCCCCCCTCACCTCCCCGCCATGACCGACATGCCTCTGATTGGCTCCGCCGTCAAGTCTGCCGGCCGCCGGCACGCCACGCGCGCGTCGTCGTCGTCCGCGCTCCCCCGCCCTCCCCCGCTCGACCCCACCTCCCCGGACCATCCCCCCATCCCTCCCCCCTCCGCCTTATCTTCCGCGCTCGCTTCGTTCACGCCACTCCTCCGCTTCACTCTACCCGCCAGGCCCGCGTCTCTCCCCTCCACGCCCGCCGCCGCCGGAAGCGGCAGCAGCGCCAGCCACGCGCACGGAAGCGCGCACGGCGGCGCGCACGGCGGCGGCGGCGGCGGCGGCGGCGGGGCGAGCGGGTGGACGGTGTTCGGGTGGCGCGTGTCGCCGCGCCTGGTGGCGTCTCTTGCGCTCCTCTCGCTCACGACGAAGCTCTGCGGCTTCCTGCTCCTCACCTACTTCCTCGCCTCCCGCCCCTCTGCACCGCACAGCACTGCCGCTGGAGCTGCCCCTGGTGCACCAGGTTCGGCAGTTGCCGCAGGCGCAGGGAACAGTGGTTCGGGTGCCGGCGCGGGCGAGCTTGTGCGACTAGGTTCGGAATTGGCGGTGGAGCAGGCAGGAGTGTCTAGGGAATTGCGTGGGCAGGTGCGAGTGAACGTGCAGGGGGTGTGCTCGCCTGCCTGGCGGGAGCAAGTCAGGCGACACTTTGGCAGAGGGGGAAGAGGGGAGGGGGAGGGCCGTGGGGATGGGGGCGGTGAGCGGGAAGGGGCGCGGTTAGGGGAAAGAGACGGGGCGCGTGGTAGGAGGTTGCTGGCGGAGGGGAGGTGGGAGGAGGGGGAGGAAGGGAAAGGGGAGGAGGTGGGGAGGGTGGTGGAGGGGATGATGGGGCGGCTGTGTGACGAAGGCCTCCCCCTGGCTACTGCACTGTTCGGTGTGAATTACTCCACAGATGCAACTGTGCAACTGGTGAGCTCATGAGCCATGGGCAAGCGAATATGCACTGCACTGTACCATATTGCACCGCGCCGCACGGCACAGCACAGCACGGCACAGGGACTCGAAACCCTTGACCTCATCACTTGAGCCCCGATCAGTCATTTCCCCTGAACCAGTTTCGCCCCCACCTCCCCTCCACAGGTAGCCCTCACGCCCCGCACCCTGCACTCTCCTCACCGCACCACGTCATCCCGCACACCTCCAACCCTTCATTCCACCTCTCCCTGTCCCACTCCCCCTCCCCCACCCATCCCCGAACACTCTTCAGGCATGCACGGGCGCCACTGCCTCTTCCCTCCCCGCCTCCGCCCCACCCCCCACCGCCTTCCTGTATGCAGCAGCAGTGCCAGAGCAGCTCAGCAAAGCCAAAGCCCACCTGGTGGAGCTAGCCGCGCTCGCACGGCGCTTCAACCGCACGCTCATTGTGCCGCGCGTGGGGCACAGCCGCGTGGACTTCCGCCGCACCCTGCCCTTCTGCGCCTACTTTGACGCCGGTGCCCTGCAGCGCTGCGGCGTGCCGTGGGTCACGGAGGACTGGTTTGTGGAGTTTGTGAGGAGGAGCGGTGTTGCTGTGCGCCCCACGTACCTCTGCCTTGTGTGCGTGCCCACTGCTCGCTCCTGCCTCCTCCCACCTACTCACAGTGTTTCTGTCTCTCTCTCCCTCTCTCCACCTCTCCATCTCTCCTTTTTTTTCACCATCCGTGGTCCCCTACTCTTGATTGTCTTGTTCGTAGTTGCATGCTGTTGCCTCGTTGCCTCGTTGCCTCGTTGCCTCTCTTCCTCGTGCCCGCCGTGCCCTCTCTGCCCTCCACGCGTGTGACTCAATCCTTTCCCCCCTCCCTGCCATGGTTTTCCCCTCAGTTTGCTTGACCGGGATGGCATTGTCTCTCGTGCGAGCAAGTGCCTGCCACCTGTTTGCATCCCCCCTTAGCTCACAGATTGATTAGTTCACCGCCCCATCCTCATCCCCATCCTCATCCCCATCCCCATCCCCATCCCCATCCCCATCCCCATCCCCATCCCCATCCCCATCCCCATCCCCATCCCCATCCCCATCCCCATCCCCATCCCCATCCCCATCCCCATCCCCATCCCCATGCCCATGCCCATCCCCATCCCCATCCCCATGCCCATGCCCATGCCCATCCCCATCCCCATCCCCATCCCCATCCCCATCCCCATCCCCATCCCCATCCCCATGCCCATGCCCATCCCCATCCCCATCCCCATCCCCATCCCCATCCCCATCCCCATCCCCATCCCCATCCCCATGCCCATGCCCATCCCCATCCCCATCCCCATCCCCATCCCCATCCCCATCCCCATCCCCATCCCCATCCCCATGCCCATGCCCATGCCCATCCCCATGCCCATGCCCATGCCCATGCCCAGCTCTGTCCTTATGGCATCCACACCGCACGAGCCACAATGTGCATCCAGTATGCATGTCATTCTCATGTTCGGATCCGAATGTATTATCGTTGCTTGGCAACAATAGACATCGCAGGTCTCACTGTTTCCCCTGTCCCCTCTCCATTCGCCCTCCCCCATTCATCCCCTTCCCCTGCACCCGTTAGTCCGGGCGTCAACGACACATGCAGCACAGCGCTGACCCCCTGGGCGCCTGAGTTCCTCTCAGTGCTCGCCATAGCCCACCACCCGCCCTCGCCCGCCAACGCCCTGCCCCTGCGCACCGCCTACCACACGCGCCGCGAGCGTTGGGGCGCGCAGATGGAACGCGAGGAGGCCGCGCTGCTGAGAGCCATGGAGCGCGCAGGGAGGAGACGAGGGGAAGGGATGGGTGCGGAGGAGGGACAGGGGGAGAGGGAGAGGGAGAGGGAGAGGGTGAGGGTGTTGGTTGATGCGCCAGGGAGCTGGAGTGGGGGCGGTGGGGGGAGTAGTGCAGGTGGTAGGGGTGGGGCGGGTGGGGCGGGGGGAGGAGAGGAGGTGGATGTGGTGGTGGTGGCGCAGAGCTCGTGGTTTTTTACCCTCAGGGAGCACAGCAGAGCCAGTGCTGCTGCGTGCCTTGCCTTCGCCCCTGGCCTGCACCGCGCTGCCGCGAGGTTTGCAGACAGGATGCGGGGCGGAGGAGGACGAGGGGAGGTGGAGGATGGGGCTGGTGCAGGGGGAGAGGTGGGAGCAGGAGCAGGAGCAGGAGCAGGAGCAGGAGCAGGAGCAGAAGCAGGAGCAGGAGCAGGAGGAGGGGGAAGCGCAGCAGGAGCAGGGTCAATGGTGGCAGTGCTTGGTGATGGGCCAGACAGCAGACTGCGAGGGGTGCTGAGAAGCGACGCACGAGAGGGCATGCGGCAAGAGCAGGAGCGCGGTGCAGGCCGGTACGCAGCGGTGCATCTGCGACTGGAGTTTGTAACATTCAAGGCGAGCAAGGCAGTGCGTGCGGGCACAGCGCCTATAGAGTCCGTGCGCGCATGGCTCATGGCATGCGCTGCCAGTGCCGTCACCACCACCCGCCACCACCTCTCTAGACTCAACTCCTCTGCGGTCTTCCTTGCTGCTGATGTCTCCCCTGCCTATTCCCCCTCCTCCTCCTCCTCCTCTTCTCTTTCGCCTCTGTCCTTGCTACCCACCTCTGCTGCCTCTCAGCCGTCCCACCCTCCTGTGCGGTTACAAAGCGATTCGTGGGCGCACGAAGGAGCAACAGGCGAGCAGCTGCTGGGGTATGTGGCAGAGGCGTACTGGCACGTGCGGAAAGAGTTAAGAGCGGTGGTGTGGGACGAGGAGGGTGCGGAGAAGCAGCAGGCGGATAAGCGTGGTCTAGACCGGGGTGTAATAGGGGTGTTGGACAAGCTAGTGTGTGCGGAGGCAGATGTGTTTGTGGCGGGCGATGATGCATGTGGCGGCTTGCAGAGCTTTGACATGGACGTGTGTGCGCTCAGGAAGGCGCTCAGTAAGGCAGAGCGTAGTACCGTTCACTTCAGCCGAGGCGGCCGGATGCACTGATGTTGTGTTCATGTAATAAAGAGCTGCTTGTTTGAGCTCGTTTATATATGAGTGCAAGAATGCAAGAATGACTGTGCAGCATGCTGTGTTAACAGGTACTAATCCAGTACTAGTCCAGTCCACTCCAGTCCCGCACTCGGGATTGGCTTATCCAGGGCTGCAGCAGCAGCAGAGCAGTTCCAGCACAGCAGTAGCGGCAGGCACGTGCTACGCAGGGCAAAGACTTGTCCTGGGAAAGGCGCATGCAATGCAAGCATCTGCTCTGGTCCTTCTCTCCCTCCTTCCCGACAGCGGCGGGGAGACCCATGCTGGATGACATCTCAAAGCACTGGGCGCCTGTGCTGCTCCACTCACACCTACACATGCTGTAAAACTCAGGAGCCACCCAAGCACTCCGTTGCCACCCAGACTCCGCCAAAAGCCCACTCCCTCATGAACCTCCCACGTACTACGTCTCGCTCCCCCGCCTACACCACAGGGGAGTGCTTCTCAACAGCAGTGGCCACGGTGCGAGCCAGGGCATCTGCGGCCTCTTGGGAAGTGGCCTCTGCATACACACGCACCACATCCTCCGTGCCTGATGGCCGCACAAACGCCCGCCCTCCTGCCACTCCCGCTGATGTGAGGGGCAGAGGAGGAAGGGGTGAGGAGGGGAGACGAGAGTGTGTGAGAGGGAAGGAGGTGTGACCGTAGGAGGAGGTGCAAGGGTATTTGCACACCATGGCACGCACGTGAAGTGCCGCCGTGAGCGGACCGTGGGCGCAGAGAGGTCCAGCAGATGGGGTGGTAGTGTGTGGTAGTATGCGGTACAGACGGTGCAGTGACATGGATGGCACACAGCAGGCACAGCACAACGCGCACACGTACCGACAGCAGCATCGATGGTGGCCTGCAGGGCATCGGGCTCCAGCAGCCTGGTGTCGTCGTCACACGGCACAAACATGCTGCGCTCTGCCACGCGCACCTGGTGTGCACGCAAGTCAGGCGGCAGCGGGGCGACAAAAGGGAGGGGGGAGGAGAGGGGGCACTTTTGAGTGGACTCAGAGGCAGTCTGGTGTAATCGCCACACGGCACAACATGCTGCGCTGCGCCACTCGCACCTGCCGTGCACGCAAGTCAGGTGGCAGGGCGCAACAAAGGGGTGTAAGGGGGGAAGAAGATGAAGGGCGGGCGCTGTGGGACGAGGTGGGCGGGCTTGAGAGGCTCCAAAGGAGCGTGGTATGGCGTGGGGGCGCTGTGCCGCTTGTGCGGTGCAGGGCGGTGTTGAGGAGTAGTGAGTGTAACGGATGTGTCGACGTGTGTATGCAAACAGAAAGGCATGGTAGCCTGCAGGGAGTCAGGAGAGAAAGGGATGGAAGGGGGAAGACGAAGGTGGGGGGACAGTAAGCAAGGATTGTACAGGAGCATAGGTGGCATGTGTTACGATGGCATGGTGACACTCAGGTGATGCCGTGGCACGCTCAAATAAAGACAACAGGCACCATTCCACCCCTGCCCAGCACCCCATGCGCAGGCGAGAGACCTTGAGTTGGCGCGAGGGCAGGTCGTGGTACATGCGGCTCCAGTCGTGGTGCGACCACCCCTGGCAGCGCAGCACCGCCTCCACTGCCAACACGTTCGCCAGGGCGTCGCCCACTGCCTGGTTGCACAGCCTGCTCAGAGCCGCCAGACGCTGCAGCGCTGGGAAGGGGGAAAAAGTGGGGGGAAGGAGGGTGGGAAGAAAGGGGATGGGAGATGCAAGTGGATCTTACGTGCCTCACACTCGCCAGGGCGTCGCCCACTGCCTGGTTGCACAGCCTGCTCACCGCTGCCAGCCGCTGCAGCGCTGGGGGAGGGGAGGGGAATTGGGGGGAGATGCGAGAGGGACACTCAGGCAGCAACACAGTGCACATCCAATTCCTCGTAGCCATGTGCCCTGCAGCTTCCACCGCAGCCTTCCACCGCATTCCCCCCACCAACAAAGCAGCATGCACGCTGCCGCACTCCCACACTTCCTCCTGAATTCCCTCGATCCAGCACTCCCACACTCCCACGCTTCCACAATCACACACTCCCACACCCTCACTCCCACACCCTCACTCCCGCACTCTCACTCCCGCACCCTCACTCCCGCACCCTTAGTCTCACCCGACCCTTGCAAAAAGTCCTTGCTCCATCTGCACTTGCAGCCACGCCAACAACACGCTCTCAAACAGCACCGTGCCATGCCCATTCGCCTCAAAGTAAACCCTCACGCACCCGCACTCCTGAACCCCAACGCACCCTCAATCCCACACTCCCCAACCAGCACAACCAATCTCACCAGACCCCCCCGACAATCCCTTCTCACTCTGCTCCTGCAGCCACGCCAGCAACTCTTCTCCAAACAGCACCGTGCCAAGCCCATTCGCCGCGAAATAAACCCCCACGCACCTGCACCACCAACACCCCCCATTCTCACCCGATCCCTCCGGAAGTCCCTTCTCCGTCTGCTCCTGCAGCCACGCCAGCAACTCCTCCCCAAACAGCACCGTGCCGTGCCCGTTGGCCTCAAAGTACACCCCCATGTCCCACCGCTCCGCCACCGCATGCACGTGCTTCACCCCTGTCCTTGCCACTGCCGGCGCACACCCCAGCTGCGATGCCAGATACGCCGTTGATGCGCCGTTGGCGTAGGCTGTTTGCACCACGCCCAGGGAGATGGGGCGGAAGGACGGGATGGAGAACCACGCGCAGGGGGGGAGGGAGGAGGTGGAGGCGGAGGCGGGGGGGTTGGGGGGAGGGGAGGAGGGGGACATGGCGCGGAGGGTGTGCACGAGAAAGAAGGTGAAGAGTGCTGCGATCTTGTCCCCGTCTAGGAGATGGAAGACACGTGAGGTAGAGGCAGATGGGGCGAGGGAGGGCTCAGGGGAGGAGGAGGGCTGTGACTCTGTGGTAGCAGTGGTGGGTGGGGCTGGAGAGTGGAAGAAGTAGACGAGGCGGTCTGCATCGCCATCCAAGCTCACACACCTGCACAAGAGGTGAGAGAAGATTGCAGTGAGGCAGGGGGGGAGAGCAGGGGATTACAGATCAGCATTGCACTGGGAGGGAGGTGCCGTGGGCACTTGATGGCTTTAGAGGCGCCTGAAAAGGAGGTGTTTCCGGCACTCGATGAAGCAGTTTCACTATTCCCTTCTCTCATCCAACCCATTTGCACCTCACCTCGGCTTCACACACCCAGGAGATCAGAAGCTATTGTTAGCCCACCGCTCCCACCTGTGCGGCCCCCCCAAACCCCACCCCCCCCCTCCTCCCCCCCCAACCTGCGCACCTCCCGTCCCACCTACACCTCCCCCCTCACCTGTGCGCCATGTCCGCGTCCCCCCCGAAACCCCTGGGCGCGCGCTGCTCCTTCTGCACGAAGTCCGCCCCCACGCCCTCGTTCAGCTGCCCCTCGCCCTTGCCCCCTGTGTTGCGCACCGCCACCGCCAGCGCCACGCCCGCCCTCCCCCGCACCTCCTGCACCAGCCGCTGCAGCTTGGGCGCGCCCACTCCATTCGCCGCGTCCACCAGCAGTGGCGGACAGGGGAAGGGCGCGGGGGAAGCGGCGGGGGAGGGGACAGGCGCAGAGGAAGAAGCGGGGGGAGGGGAGGATGCGGGGAGCAGGGCTTGGAAGGCGGATGCGAGGGTGGAGAAGTAGAGGTCCTCGGAGGGCAGCAGGGGCGAGGCAGGGGGCTGGCGGTTGGCCGCCCACACGAGCCAGTGCAGCTGCGGTGTTGTGAGTAGGGTGCATGATGTGGGGGTCACTCCTGGTACCAGCGCCACGCCCTGGGGGGAGGAGGAAATGGAGGGAGAGCGAGAGAGGGGGGCAGGAAAAGCGGTAAGGGCAGAGCAGGAGGAGCAGACAGATCGGCGATGGCAGTGACAAGGCTATCAGGAATGAGAGGAACGAAAGGCGTAGCAGGATACGAGTGGGGTGGCGTGAGGCTGGGCATTTCCGACCTGCATTGCGGCGTCCAGCAGCCTGGGGCCGCTCTCACGGGTATCCCTCGCCAGTAGCACTCGCCCCCTCGTGGCGTCGCCCACTGGGACCTTCTCCTCCTGCACTATCGCCTCCACTGCCTGCTCATGCACATGGACAGGCATGTACACACGCACGCACGCACGCGCGTGCACACACACACACACACACACACACACACACACACCGACACACACACACACACACACATACACACACACACACACACACACACACACTCATTCGCACCAGCACAAGGAAAATGCACTTGCACCAGTCCCCAATGTCTTACATCCTAGCCCACCCATGGCTCTCTTCTCCATACACACGCACACTGCGCGCTGCCTCCCGCACAGCCACATACATGCTCATCCAAGCCACCCAACGTCCGCCTCAAGCATCCCACACGAGCATACGTTTTCCCACACTTGCTAGTGCGGGCCCCACAGCCAACAAGCAGGTGAGGGAAACGCACGCGTGTGCTCGTCCCCGTCGCACCACGCTCGCATGTGTGTCTTCTCGAGGTGAGCAGCCTCTAACGATTCTTCAGCACTCTCAACGTGCGCCCCCACCACCGCCACCCACCGTCTTCGCTGTCTAATTGCGCAAATGCTCTGGCACCCTGCGTTACTTCTTTGCTCTTCTCTCGTTGTAGTCACATCGATCCAGCCACGCGCCGCGTACCTGCACCAGGTCGTCCGCAGTCGCCGCATTCGCGAGCCGCGTGGCGTGTGCCTCCCACGCGACGGCCAGCATGCCGCCGTTGCTGTCGGCGATCTTCACGCCGTTGTCTTTCGCAGGGTTGTGCGACGCGGTTACCATCACGCCCGTCGCACGCCCGCCCTGCTGCAGCGATCGCAGCGCCGCCAGCAGCGCGCAGCGCTGAACGGTCGAGTCGAGCAGCGCCGCGTCGTGGCGGAAGCCCGCCGTGCCGTACGACAGCGGCACGCCCGCGGGCTTCGGCAGCCGCAGCGCCGCGTCGTGCACGGCTTGACGGAGCGCGTCCATGGGAATGGCGGTGGAGTGCGGTGAGCGGGAGCGGGAGCCGAGGCGGTGGAATGGGAGTGAGGGCACACTTCAGATTCGCCCTTGGATCTCGGTGTTGGATCTCACGGGAACAGTTCCTTTGTGCAGGATGTGAAGGTTCGTTACAATATTGACCCGCTACAAGGTTTTCTTTTCTATGAAATATACCAAGTTTTCTCAGAATACTTAAAGTTATGTCCAGAACTAACGATTTTCCTACACCTCTTGCCTTCGCGAAACGCGTCGCAATAACCAGCTTTAACATTTCGTTTGTCCCTGGGAATGTCGCAGCACCTGACTAGCACAGGCGAGCTCCAACACCAAGCAGCCAGCCAACCAGCCAGCCGACACGCCACGCTAGAAACAACCAGACCACAACCAGAATAGCTGTTTATCACTCTTGGTGTTTGTGTCCCTCTCTCGTCGTTCTCGTCTCGCATCGCACCGCCTCACGCACACCCTCCCCCATGGCCCGCAGATCGCTCTCATGTCGCGTCTAGTCGCGCTCGCGCTCGTCGTTCCGCGTTCCTTTCATGGCCGTGCGGGTTTCTCGAGGAGGCTTGTCGCGCGTGCTGCGCAGTCGAAGCAGCACGATAGCATCGCCATGGATCACCACGACTCCGCTTGCAGCCACGCTCGATGCTCTTACTCCTACCACTAGTACCACTACAGCTACTATTACTAATAGCACCGTCCTCGCTTCGAGTAGTAGCCACCTCGCTTCAATACCTCCAGCCAGCGAATCTCCCGCTCGGAGTCCGATCGGTCCCGGCGCATCCGCATCGTACGGTCGCAGCGACTCGTTCCTTCACGAAACCTTGACGCGTCGCTTCAACGATCGGGTTGGCGTTGCCAGGCCATGCCACGCGCGCGATAGCGCGCCGACGAGGCTCTTATACACGGGAGGCCAGGCCTTGGCCTTGATCGCGAGCAGCCCCACGAGACGACCGTATCTCATCGACACGCTAGCGCTGGTAGGTCGCCTCGGTGCGTGCGTGCCTGACTGCTTTTGAGATGGTACGTCGTCTCCAAAGTCGTTCATGCGCCATGATCGCGACCAGAGCAGCCCTGCGAGCCGCGTAGTTCTGATCGACACGCTAGCGCTGGTAGGTCGTCTCGGTGCGTGACTGACTGCTTGTTCACTCCTGGGTTTTGATCAGTAACGGCCTGTTCCAACAAGCAGGATTCGTTGCGAGTGCTTCTTCAGCTTTTCGGATCCAGCTAGCAACGGATCCGTAGGACAATCACTCACTAAAGCTTTGCCCTTCATTTGACTTCCCCGCCACCCCCTCACGCGCGCGCGCGTGCGCGCGCGTTGGTGCAGGTGCGGCGGCTGGAGGCGGAGGGGCTGACGGCGCGGCAGGCGGAGGCGATAACGCAGCTGATCGCAGAGGTGCTGCACGACAGCCTCGACTCCGTCGCCCACACCTTCGTCTCCAAGCCCGACCTCAACAAGGTTTCTTCACCTCCCGCATCCAACCATTTGTCCACTCCGCGTGCTCATAGTGGTGCTCAAATTCGTTGGTGGTTCTAGTTGTGTTTCCTGTGTTGAGTTTGGTTCTTTTTCTGTTTTATAATCTTGTTGTTTTGTTTCCTTTTCTTTCTGTTTCTTTTCCCGCTCCTGCAGTCGGAAATGGTGGCGGAAGCAGCCCTGGTGAAGCTCAAGGCGGAGGTGCAGAGCACGCTCGTGAGTGCCTCCATCCCTCCCTCCGTCCCTGCGTGCATGCGTCTCGTTGCGTCTCGCTCCGCGTTGCTGCGCTTTGTGCCGCCGTGTCGCGTCTGCTTACCCGGTCAGGTCGAGCCGAGAGCTAACGCGAGGTGGTGCTGTGCTGGCTGGTGCGGTGGTGGTGCAGGACTTGAAATTCGCGGCGTTGCAGAGGGAGGTGGAGGGGCTTAAGATCGGAGTAGACAAGGTGAAGAGCGAGATACGGTATGTATGCATGTTATGCATGCCCTGAGCGGATCAGAGAGCCTTTCATATAGTTGCGGTAGACGGCACGCTGTGTTGCAGGCAGACTAGCTGCACGCGGGTGGAGATTAGCGCGCAGTGGCAGTGGCAGTTGCAGTTGTTTGCCGTCGTTGAGGCATGCGCTGATGAGGCGTGTGACTGGGTTGCCTCGTTTTTTGTTCTTGCAGATACGAAGTGGACAAGGTTACAGCGGGGCAGAGGCTCGACTTGAATCTTGAGAAGGGGTGCGTATTTTTTCTCAATGTTATTGAAAGGGTTGAGCTGGGTTGTCATGGTTTGGAGCTGAGAGCATTTCGGTTGTGTGGCGTGCAGGCGGGTGAAGGAGGAGATGAACGTGCAACTACAGGAGATGAATAACTTGTCAAATAAGCTGGATAAGGTGAGCTGGCTTGTGTGTGCTTCTGAGTCTTGTGTGTGATTGGGGGAGAGAGAGGACGGGAGGGGGAGGGAGGAAAGTGAGGGAGGAGAATCAGTAGAGGGAAAGAGGGAATGTCGAAAGTGGAGTGTGAAGGCATGTCTTTTTGCTTGCAGAATCTGCTGTTTGTAACTATTATCCTTGTAATGCCGCGCTGACTGAACGGTGATATGGCCCTTGCAGGAAATAAACAATCTCAAGACACAACTCGAAGCAGCCAAGTTTGAAATTATTCGATATTGCATAGGTGAGTGAGTGCAGGCGTGGAACGAGTGTTCTCGTGCTTATGCTTCTCGTTCTTATGCTTATGCTTCTCGTGCTTATGCTTATGCTTCTCGTGGAGTGAATGTTCTCGTGCTTATGCTTTGCAGGTACATTGGTTTCCATCAGTGCTCTCGGCTTGGGTATTCTTCGGTTAGTTATGTGAAAGATTGGACATACGTAATCGTCACTGGATGTTTTAGTATTTCATTATGATTATAAGGCCCATTTTATAGAATCGTTCTTGGTTATAACAAATACCGGTAGGAATGTGTCTTGTTTTCCCCTTGTGCTGCTGAGTTAAAATTGATCCAGTTGTAGACGAGTAGTATCGGATCAGAGGGTGTAAGCAAGCAGGTGGCCATGGCCACCACATACGGTACTGTGTTGTGTTCTCGCGGAGGATCAATAACGGGCATCTTCTTTCCATACCGTGCCGGTAATTTGAGTCCCCCCCCCCGTCAGTGCCTTCCCTATCCCCCATGCTCTAGGTAATGAATCAAGGACCTCACAACAGCCTCCCCAACATCACCTCTCAGCACCACCTTCCCAGGCCTGACCGACCCATAGCAGTGGTAGTGATGATCGCGAGGACACACATCCATAAACCGTGGCGCCTCCACTTGCCAGCTGTCAAAAAACTCTATACGGGGGACAGAACCGTCAGCCGCACCGGGACCAGCAGCAGGCACGGTGTTACTGCCTGCGTTGATCTGATCAGCCAGGTGTTTGGTCAGGCGATTAGCAGCAGAGAGAAAGAGGTTGGTGGCGGGGCCTGGGAAGGTGCGGCAGGCAATGCTGCAGTGGTCTCCGCGGTTGGGCACTGGCGGTGCAGAGCGCACGATCAGCCGAACCCGCCGAGTGCCTGTGGCTGCTGCGCCTGTGCCTGCTGCCTCTGCGGTGGTGGTGGTGCTTCTGGAGCTTCTGCTAGTAGCAGTGGCGGCTTTGGTTCTGCTGCTGCTGCTGCTGCTGCTGCTGCTGCTGCTGCTGCTGCCGCTGCTTCTACTGTCTTTGCTGGCACTGTGGAGCAGGCGTTCTGCCCTTTCAGCATCCCCACCATCTCCTCCTGACTGCCTGCTGTCAGCAGCAGCTACCGAATTCCCCTTAGAGCTGGCCCCGCTTGGTGCTGGAGAGACCAGAGAGGAGGAGCCATCAGGCAGGGAGGCAGAACGGGGAAGCGTAGTTGCTGCAGGAGCAAGTGCTGCGAACTGACTGGTGAAAGCAGCGCCGCACGGGTCAGAACCAGCAGAAGGGGGATCTTCAAGGCTGGTGACAGAGGCAGCAGCGACGGCGGCAGCGGAGGAGGAGGCTTCAGCGGCTGAAGCGGCAGCTGCGGAGGCTTGGGGGTCAGAGGCAGCAGCAGAGGAGGCTTGGGAGGTAGAAGCAGCAGCAGAGGAGGCTTGGGAGGTAGAAGCAGCAGCAGAGGAGGCTTGGGAGGTAGAAGCAGCAGCAGAGGAGGCTTGGGAGGTAGAAGCAGCAGCAGAGGAGGCTTGGGAGGTAGAAGCAGCAGCAGAGGAGGCTTGGGAGGTAGAAGAATCAGCAGCAGGGGCTGCAGCGGCGGATGCGGCTTGCGATTGGGCCCAGGCGAGGTATTCTGGGAGGTGGGTGTGGAGGGCGGAGAGCGGATGCAGACACCGCTTGCCAGCCCAATAGCCACTGTTGACGATGATGACGCCACTTGAGCGGGAGATGTTGGGGAAGAAGTCGTAGTGATGTGAGGATGCCCCTCGGTACCTGGAGGGTGGAGGGGGAGGGGGATGGGCATGGGGATGGGGATGGGGATGGGGATGGGGATGGGGATGGGAAGGGGGATGGGGATGGGAAGGGGGATGGGGATGGGGATGGGGATGGGGATGGGGATGGGGATGGGGATGGGGATGGGGGGGATGGAGATGGGGATGGGGATGGGGATGGGGATGGGGATGGGATGGGGATGGGGATGGGAATGGGATGGGGATGGGGATGGGAGGGGGATGGAGATGGGGATGGGGATGGGGATGGGGATGGGGATGGGGATGGGAAGGGGGATGGGGATGGGAAGGGGATGGGGATGGGAGAGGGATGGGGATGGGCATGGGAGGGGGATGGAAATGGGGATGGGGACGGGGATGGGGATGGGGATGGGGATGGGAAGGGGGATGGGAATGTGGAGTGCATAAAGATGCCGAGTCCTTCATAGGAATAATAGAAGCTTGTAGATGATGGGGTTGCAGTGCTGCGAGAGGGGCAAGAGGAATGGCATTGAAGAGGAGCACGGGCACGGGGAAGAAAAGGTTAAGCTGAAGCGCTGCAAGTTGGTGGAGGAGACGAACAGTAGAAGCGCCATTTGAGACGCGCCTCAAAAGTGGTGGAGCAGAAGGACCGTAGAAACGCAGCGGGGAGAAAAAGGGAAGGAAGCGGACACGGAAAGAATCATATATGCATCTATGCATGGAAACATGTCATCCCACGGCCCCCATGGGTTTCAGACACAGGCTGTCTTTGAGTTGCCAAGCAAGAGAAATGAAACGAAACGATATGCATGTGCATCGAAACTCTCACGTTTCCATGGGAGAGAGCGATAGGGATTTAGAGCACACAAGTGAGCCGAAACCCTTTCAAGCGCGGGTACGAGGCCCACACACGTGCATCCAAACTCGTCGTTGCGGTAGATCCCATCCACCCAGTAAACGATGATGAGAACATCAATCCATTAGACCGGGGGAGGGGAAGAGGAGGAGAGAGGGGAGGGAGTGGGTACGAGGCCCACTCACGTGCATCCAAACTCGTCGTTGCGGTAGATCCCATCCACCCAGTAAACGATGATGAGAACATCAATCCATTAGACCGGGGGAGGGGAAGAGGAGGAGAGAGGGGAGGGAGTGGGTACGAGGCCCACACACGTGCATCCAAACTCGTCATTGCGGTAGATCCCATCCACCCAGTAAACGATGATGAGAACATCAATCCATTAGACCGGGGGAGGGGAAGAGGAGGAGAGAGGGGAGGGAGTGGGTACGAGGCCCACTCACGTGCATCCAAACTCGTCGTTGCGGTAGATCCCATCCACCCAGTAAACGATGATGAGAACATCAATCCATTAGACCGGGGGAGGGGAAGAGGAGGAGAGAGGGGAGGGAGTGGGTACGAGGCCCACTCACGTGCATCCAAACTCGTCGTTGCGGTAGATCCCATCCACCCAGTAAACGATGATGAGAACATCAATCCATTAGACCGGGGGAGGGGAAGAGGAGGAGAGAGGGGAGGGAGTGGGTACGAGGCCCACTCACGTGCATCCAAACTCGTCGTTGCGGTAGATCCCATCCACCCAGTAAACGATGATGAGAACATCAATCCATTAGACCGGGGGAGGGGAAGAGGAGGAGAGAGGGGAGGGAGTGGGTACGAGGCCCACTCACGTGCATCCAAACTCGTCGTTGCGGTAGATCCCATCCACCCAGTAAACGATGATGAGAACATCAATCCATTAGACCGGGGGAGGGGAAGAGGAGGAGAGAGGGGAGGGAGTGGGTACGAGGCCCACTCACGTGCATCCAAACTCGTCGTTGCGGTAGATCCCATCCACCCAGTAGTAATTAATCCTTAGCGTCTCGTTCCTCTCGTTGCGCGCCACAAACGCCAGGTCGTGCTTGCTGATCCAGTGCCGCAGCTCCGCCTCGCCCGTCAGCAAGTACAACAGGTGCGTCGCCAGCATGCGGTGGTGCGAGTCCCCCGCAATCGAGATCTCTCTGATGCCGCGCCGGGTGAGGGACGAGATCCAACCACCCACTGGAGTCTCTGGTTGCACGGGAAGGGTACCCACTTCCACGTTCTTTTGCCCTTGCTGCTCATGCCGCTCATGCTGCTCTTGCTGCTCATGCTGCTCTTGCTGCTCATGCTGCTCTTACTGCTCATGGAGCTCGTACTGCCTCTGGTGCCACTGTCACTGGCACTGGCGTAGGCACTGCCAGCGTCACTCTCACTCTCTGTATCCATCTCAACCCATCTCCCCATTACTGACCCTCTGCACGGACCACTGCTCCTCTCCTCCGCCTCTCTTTCCTCTTCACCGTCTCTGCCAGTCAGCTTCGTCTCGCCCTCTTCCTCTCCCGCTTCTCTTCCTCTCTCGCTCTCAGACTCCTCTGCTCTCGCTTCTGGGACACGTGGCAGATCTTCTGTGGCAACGCGCAATCGCCGGTGGGTGGAAACCTTGCTAGTGGCTGCTTCGCTATAAGATGATCGATTGGTGGATGCTGCTTCGTTATGAGAGGTAGTTGGTGCGCTGGGGGAGGGCGTGTGCGATGGTAGGACCGTGATGGTCCATGCTGCCACGTCATTGGCGCCGCTTGGTGCGATGTTGGAAGAAGAGGAGGTGACGGAGGAGGTGGAAGATGGGGATGGGGAGGAGGAAGAGGAGAAGGAGGAGGAGGAGGAGGAGGAAGAGGAGAAGGAGGAAGAGGAGGAGGGGGAGAGGGGTGCAAGGAGAAGGTTGGAGCATCCTTTATGGAGGGAGGCCCTGTGAGATCAGAAGTCATGGGACGACATGAGAATGGATAGCACGAGAAGGGATGAGAGAAGATGAGAAGATGTTGTTTGAGATGAGATGGTCAGAAAAAAAGATGGGCGCAAGGCACAAGACGAATAGGCCAGGAAAAGGGTAACAGGACAGGAAAAGGTTCAACCACATCACGACTTGTCGAAGAGAAAGAAAAAGACAAAGAGACGAGAAGAAACGAAGGTGAGAGGCGAGAGGGTACTGTGAGAGGCGAGAGGGTACTGTGTGGTTCAAGCAGATCACCTCACCCATCACCCACAAGACGACTCAGCAGCTTCACCTCAGAAACCACCCAGTCATGCAAACACTCCTTACTTGCTAAATATTACAACCATTCCTCTCGTTCCTCTAATTCCGGTTATCAGAACTTTACACTACCAACACCACTCATGCACGCGCGTGTTTTGAGACGCAAGCCAGTCGATCACTCACTGGTACGTCCCTGCGTCCCAGGCTCGGTAAGCGACGACGAATCGGGAGCAGGTGGGAGGGTCGGCACAGACAGGGTCGGCGTGGAGCAGCGAGGGCCCGATGAGGGAGAGAGAGAGCTCGCGCTTCCACCAGCTCACCACGGACGAGTTTGAGGGATAGCTTGGCGGTGATGTGCTGCTGCTGCTGTTGCTGCTGCTGGCAGTGGTGCTGGTGGCGGTGCTGGTGGCGGTGGTGCTGGTGGCGGTGGTGGTAGTGGCGTTCTCAAAAACGGGAGGGAGTGTCCACGTGGCGCCGGGTGACTCCACGCTTATGAAGAACGTGCACGTCTGGCCTACAGTGCAAGTTGAACAGCCGCTGCCGTATACAAACAGCCCCCCTCGCCCAATAGCGGGTTCTGGTGCTGATAGTAACGGGGATGATGTTTTTCCTACCGTGGACGTCCAGCAGAGGGGAATATCCGTCGTACGGGGAACCCATACGACTGGTGGAGACACGTCACCATCATTAGATGCCATAATAGAACCCACCGCAGCACTGTACAGCTCAATCGCCACGTCAGCATCCAGCATACCCGCAGTTACATTCGCCGACGCGCCGCTGGCAGAAGGAATCAACGCTTGCAGTTGAGTGATCGGTTTCACCGGCTCATTGGACGGTCGCGTTCCAGATCCAGTTGAATCTAACGGCTGAAATTGTTGCTTGGGCTTTTCACGCAGTTGTCGCGATCCCAGAGTTGCTACTACTTGAAGTTGTAGCGATATCCTTTCTGCCGAGACTACTTGTGACTCAGTCGCCGCAGGCTGTGGTGATGATGCTCTCAACGGCCAGGAATTTACTTGAAACGAGTCTGCTCTTCTCGGGGATAGAGGGGGAGGCGAGGCCTGGGGAGTGGCGGCGGGAGGCCAAGGGGAGAAACTGCGCATTGGGGGTGAAAAGGGAGGGTGGGGGGTGAGGGGGGGCAAGAGGCGGAAGGGGAGAGGAGGTGGGGGGAAAAGCAGAGGTGGCAATTCTGCGCGGAGGATGCTAAAGTCCGCGAAGCTGTATACATCCGTGTACGTACAATAAGCTGGTCACACGCACAATAAGCTTTACTGCGGTACAGAAAAATACCAGCACAAGCTTCTATATTATATACGACCGTACCGTGACGCCCACTAAGCTTGACGCACCTTGGGAGCCCGTCACCGCCGCTGCCGGCGAGTTTCATCTCCGAGATGGGATCGAGACCCGCGACGGGCAGCTGGCTGCTCCTCCTAGTATCATCGCCTTGCGCCGCGTGACGCGGCCACAGCTGCACAGCTGCGCGCACAGCAAGCAGCGCGAGAAGGAAGCTAATGAAGAGGCGGCAGCGCCAGCGGCTCCGGGCCACGTACACAACCTCTGATTGTGGCAAGTTCCGCAGAACAACTGGTTGAACCAAGTCGACGCGCTCGGGGAATAACCCGCACACGCCGCCCCCTTCCCGAGCGTAATTTGCGTCTCGAATCATATCTGGATGATCTTGGTGATTGTTTCTCAGCCTGCCAATCTCAGGCTCCATCTTCCTGACTCTTCTCTTACTGCCTCCGCTCCACTGATTCTCGCCGAGGGGTCGGTGCTTCTGAGGGTAAAAAATGCTTCAAACGCGCTTCCTTCTATTTTCGAGCGGGATGCTTCTACGGCCTGATCGAGTTCCGACCGTGGAGAACTAAATGCGGAAAAGGCAGTCGATGCCGCATGAGGAAGCAAGTCGAAAGCGGCGCCTGCCGTCCCTGAATCCATGGTACGTAGCAGAGCCGGCGACTCTGAGTCGAACAGCTTTGAAAGCGAGCAGTCAGCGAGTGATTCGCTGCAACCAGTCCAGAATCGTTTGGCTGTATTGTAGTCACAATGTAGCAAAACCTCTGAGCAAATAGTACGAGGACCTTCCATTTTCGTGTGGGGCCGCAAGGGCACAGGACGGCCTGCACAAACCCAGCTTGGTTCAAACCTATCCGACTTGAAGCCGATTTCTGCGTCCTACCTACCACATACGCGCGGTTGTGTTCTGACAAATTCCGATGTACTGCTCGCGCGCCGCGGGAGGCAGCCGGCCATTGTTGAGTGCAAAACAGGACGAGTACGCACGCGCAGACTTGATTTGCGGAGGTGCTAGGAGCTTGCTGCCCCTACCGTTGGTTGGCAGGCACACGGCGTCAAAACCTGTGGGCTACCCTTTCTTGCCGTTCCTCCGCCGAGCCGCGTTGGTTGATTTGAGTGGCAGGGCTGCGGTTCGTCAGAGCAGCAGCAGCACCAATTGACGCACCATTTTTGTCGGAACTCCGACATTAGGCGAATCGATATATGCAACCTGTACACTACAAACGTCACAATTTATGATCTCGCGCCAATATGCTCCACTTTTAGAATCTAATAGATTTTTCTACCGATTCCCAGGTGTAACACCTCCTGTATAGTCCCCTTGTGGGCAGGAATTTTTCAAAGTGAAAAGTTTTTAAACACCTGTCCCAGGGGACGATAGGGTTCCTCAGGCCGGCTGCCCAAGAGAGAACGGACTAAGATAGTCAGCAAGACAAAGAGACTCTGTGAATTCATGCTGTGAGAAGAGTGAGGGTAGATTTGTATCCGTGACAGATACAATTCTAGACACGAAATGGAGATTCGGACCGGAAACCCAGGTATAAGGATATGTAGCATAAACACTCTTTCTTAGGGGGGTGTTAACAACCACTCTGCTTTGTTGTTGACAAATAAACGGTGTTCTCGTTGCGCAGTTGAATGTATCGGACCTTTAATGCGGAGCACGCAGATTTGACACTCGAAGGGTGCATAAGTAGCCATGGGGTTTCTCAGTATTCTTTTTGTAGATGCTTCATACATTACACGAATGCAAAAAACATCAGCAGTCGTACCTGATCGGGTTTCTCACCAAAGGATACTTCAAAACTTGAAGTGCCGACGTGGAACGCAGTATACCGAACGAAACAGAGGCTTCTCCACTTCCAGTCAATCCCTTTTGAGCCTCCACCATTTTTTCCACCTCGTGTGTGCTTCCTTCCTAGTTCAGAGCCTCTGCGCTACAAGCGGCTGTTGGTTTGACGCGTCTCTCCTATGCTGTGATACAAAATCGAGTATCGAGTGTCGACCATCTATGATCTAGTATCGACCATCTATTTTTGAGTATCGACCAGCCATTATCGAGTATCGACCATATATTATCGAGTATTAACGATTACACTGCGCGGCGCGAGGAGCAGCAGCGATGGTGTTCATCTCGCTGCTGGAACCGTCACGCGACGACGCGAAGCGCGTCTGCCAGCTCACACGGTACTTCCACGCGCACTGCCCTGCACCGCCTCTCCGCCTGCTGCTTCTCTCCCCATTCGTGCGCTATCTCACCCCCGCATCGCCCGCGCAAGTGCCACTTGCATCGATCCAGGTCCCGCCCTCCACCGCACCTAGCCGCACACGCGCCTTGCCACCCCGACACCTGGGGTGCAGCGAAGCGAGGCTGATGGGGACACGGCGGCAGCACGTGACGGCGATGTTTTTAATCGACGCTAAAACTTGGTGCTGTGAGGGCCGTTCTGGGGGGATCCCTGTGGGCTCTGCTCCTCTTGGCCTCGAAACCCTGCTGCCTTACTAACAAGCCCACCGTCTGCTCCACTCAAGATACACGCACCAGCGCTGAGCGTGCACCAGCGCTGAGCGTGCACCAGCGCTGAGCGTGCACCAGCGCTGAGCGTGCACCAGCGCTGAGCGTGCAGCAGCGCTGAGCGTGCACCAGCGCTGAGCGTGCAGCAGCGCTGAGCGTGCAGCAGCGCTGAGCGTGCAGCAGCGCTGAGCGTGCAGCAGCGCTGAGCGTGCAGCAGCGCTGAGCGTGCAGCAGCGCTGAGCGTGCAGCAGCGCTGAGCGTGCAGCAGCGCCGAGCGTGCAGCAGCGCTGAGCGTGCAGCAGCGCTGAGCGTGCAGCAGCGCTGAGCGTGCAGCAGCGCTGAGCGTGCAGCAGCGCTGAGCGTGCAGCAGCGCTGAGCGTGCAGCAGCGCTGAGCGTGCAGCAGCGCTGAGCGTGCAGCATGCGGTGTGATGACTCAGTCGGTTCCCATGCCTCCCACTCTCACTCTCTCCCTCCCACTCCCTCTTAATCTCAATCCCTTTTTGCCTCCTCTCCAACCCACCTTTTCTTTCGCCCGCCACCCCCATGCCCCCTCACCTCCCCCACTCCCAAACCCTGTTTCAGACCTTCCCCTCTTACCTATCCGTCGCAGCTGGTGGGGGCTTCTGGGGCGCCTCAAAAGTCATTCCCATGCCCCCTCACTTCCCCCACGCTCAACCTCCATTCAGGTCCCTCCCCCTCAACTATCCTTCGCAGCTGGTGGGCGTGACTAGAGGCGGGGTGAGCGCAGTAACCAGGGCTGTGCGCGCATGGGAGGGTGGGGAGCACGGGGAAGAGGAGGGCTTGGCAGAGCAGCAGTTGGGCAGTGGCAGCAGCAACGGCAGCAGTGGCAGTATCGATGATCACAAGAGCGGAGACCACAGCAGCCAGGGTAGAAGCAGCAGAAGCGGCAAAATGAGGGGTGTGGGGAGAGGGAGGGAGTGGTGGCGGGTGGATGGAGGGGCGTTCAGGTGCATGCACAGGTGTGAGAAGGTGGGCAGAGGGGACACGGCCTTCCGCCACTGCCAGCAGCTGGTGGGCACATGGAGGTGCGTGTGTGTGCCCCTGCACTCACCTCACCACCATGCAGACACTCTACCGCCTTTGCTCCCTTCCTCTCTCTCCCCTGCCCTGCTTCCTCACCTTTTGTTGTCATTCAAATCCTGGCCCTCCTCATCCTTCCTCATCTCTCCTCATCCTTCCTCATCTCTCTCATCCCTCCTCACCTCTCCTCATCCCTCCTCACCTCTCCCCATCCCTCCCAGTCTCTTCTTTTCCAAAGAGCATAATATGGATGAACACGCTTCTTTCTATCTTCACTCCATGCCGCATCATCACTCCCTCATTGGACATCTATATCCCTACCTCGCATAGCCGTCCTATTCATTCTCTCTTCCGTTTGTCCCACTCGCTTCCCCTGCTGCACGCTGTCCTTCCTCCAGGCACTTCAACCTTGGATGGACATGGGCTCTATCCCCCCCTCCACCATCCACCACCACCACCAAATCCGCTCTCTCCCCTCCTCCTCCGCCCTCTCCTCGCCTCGCATCTGCCGGCGATGCCGTGTGTGTGGCAGCGCGGTCGCTCTTCCTCACCCCCCCATGGACCATGAACCCCCTCCGAGTCATCTTCTCCGACTCCTTCCCTCCTCTCCCCGCTCCTCCTCCTCTCACACCCACCACGGCACCCACACGCTCCCACCCCACCACCAGCAGCAGCAGCAGCAGCAGCAGCAGCACCAGCAGCACCAGCAGCAGCAGCAGCAGCAGCAGCACCAGCAGCAGCACCAGCAGCAGCAGCAGCAGCAGCATCGCCCACGCTTCCTCCTCCGCTCTTGCTGCAAGCCGTGAGCCTGCGCGCAGCATGGGCGTGTTGCCAGGCATCTCGCTCACAGCAGCATACTCTGTGGGCAGCGGCACTGTCCAAGGCCACTTCCTGGTGCGCCTCTTGCACACCTATGCTCATACTCATGCTCATGATCATACTCATGCTCATACTCATGCTCATGCTGATACTCATGCTCATGCTCATACTCATGCTCATACTCATGCTCATGCTCATACTCATGCTCATGCTGATACTCATGCTCATGCTCATACTCATGCTCATGCTGATACTCATGCTCATGCTCATACTCATGCTCATGCTCATACTCATGCTCATGCTGATACTCATGCTCATGCTCATACTCATGCTCATGCTGATACTCATGCTCATGCTCATACTCATGCTCATGCTCATACTCATGCTCATACTCATGCTCATGCTCATACTCATGCTCATGCTCATACTCATACTCATGCTCATGCTCATACTCATGCTCATGCTCATACTCATGCTCATACTCATGCTCATGCTCATACTCATGCTCATGCTCATGCTCATGCTCGTGCTCGTGCTCATGCTCATGCTTATACTGATGCTCTTGCTCATTCCTAAGCCCATCCCCATTTCCCTGCAGCACTATCCATTCACTCACAAACCTAGGCCACTTAGACTCAACCCCTTCCCACACCCCCTTCCCATCCCCCTTCTCCCCCTCCCCCCTCCCCTGCGCTGCCCTGTGTGTGCACGGCATTGATGTGTGCATCAGGAGGGGGAGGAGCGGTTCCTGGTGGGCATGGACGGCAACAAGGATGTGTGGCTCGAGATCCTCTCCATATCTCGCCCCGCCAACGCACTCGCCCTTGCCTTCTCTCCACTCGCAAGGTTCATGCAGCGTAGATTCGCTCAAGATGCCATGGGCTCGGTTAGAGGACTCTTGCAGAACGAGACCTCTACTTTGGAGGGGAAGTGATCATCTGGGCGGTTTACACTGCATTCAGGAAAAGTGAATGGTTAGCAAATACCGCTACTGGTACTGTATTCCCCTGAATAGTTGCCCCTAAGGGCGTTCATTAATTTACCATTTGGTGAGAAGAAGCATGTGTACAAATGTGTGATAGGCTTAAGGAGTTTCACACGTGACAGGTACCGATACAGTAAATCCTTGTGGAATGAAGAGGCTGGGAGCAACAGAGCTAAGCAACCAACACCTTGAGAGCAGTTCATTTCTGAGCCAGTTCATTCATGACTAGGCTGGCAATGGACAGTGGTACCACAAGATTCGACAGTAGCATCAACCCATGATGCATAGGTAGGAAGATTTTTGCGGTAAAGGGACCAAGGTTTACAGCAAAAGAGTCAAATCCTACTTATCTACTAGTAGTATCCACCGCATTCATAAATACGCATGTGTAGATTATGTTGGGTTTGGTGTTAGCTAAGCTCCTCGAGAGGGTATCGTGGTGCAGATCCAAGGGCTTGACCCCTGTCCTGTGCCATCTTCCCGCCCCACACTCCTGGCTTCTTCCAGCCTTCTGCTGCTTCTATGGGATTGTGTGGTTAGATCTGGTACGTCACACGTTGTTATCATGGCAAGTTCCATTTGCTGAGTTGATTCGGCTCTGCTCAACCTCTCACATTGGACTACTACTATGAATTGTGCGATATAACAAATAGATGGAAACAGAGGTAGTGTACCAGCACAAAACACAAACAAAAAAAAGCGGATACGGGAAGCAGGGGAATGATCCAGAACCCATGCTCTCGCCCATCAGATGTTGCCACCATGGTGACGCAGCAAAGCTGCAGCGATGCCCAGATGGAAATAGCTGATGCACGAGATATCCTGCCGTGCCGGATTCCTGCTGCCCAGACTATGATATTATGATATTACCGCCAGGCGCAGCTGCTACTACTACTTGTACGAGTGGATGTGCAACCCAGGTTGCAACTCAACCGACCGTCGACTTGTATCATCTCAACCGACCGTCTCCTTACACGTCGCCCGGAGTCAAGGAGCTCGAGATGATATGCAGCGCGAAATGCTTGCTGACGTAGAAGTTCCCAAAGACGAGCACCGCAGGGAGAATGTCCGAGCCGCCCTTGAGCACCACGGAGGGCAGGAGCCTGCCGGACCACTTGGTGACCTTTCCGCCCTCGTATGTCGGGAATTTGGTGAAGCGCGCGGCCTTGCGGAGCTTTCTCTTGGTGAACACGCCCTTGAGCATGTGGTAGCGCGCCACGCGCCTGCGCTCGCCCGCGGAGAAGCGCACCCAGTTGCGCACCACCTTGAGGGGATTGATCGGCTGGAGAACCGTCACGGGCGTTGCCTTGGAGGTCCCATTCACCCGCTTGACCATCCGAACTGCCAAATGCGGTTCGAAAAAATCAAACAGACGGGCATTTTTATTTGTTTGTTGAGCTTGTGGGGCTGTGGACAGAAGCGAATAATGTGAGTTATAAGCGCCGAATACTCACAGAACTTCTCAAGAAGCGGAGCCGAGCCGGCGTAAGGAGATGCTCGGAGAGAAGAAAGCGCTTTGTCCATATCTTCCGTGCTGATGCCTAGGGCGTCATCAACGGCGGCCCCTTCCGCGACGACAGCGACAGCCAGGAGGGCTGCGACGAGAAGAAAACGCCAGGAGTTTCTCATTTTGTTGACCAACTATGACGGAATGAAAAGATGAGGCCAGAGATAGGTGTTTTCCTGCTGAAGTGATCCTCGTTGGTAGTACTGCTGGCCAAGGAGGAATGGATGTTTTCAGAATCGGAAGCTTGTGATTTTGGTCAGCTAGGCCACCATTTGAAGTTGACTTCGCAATGCGCTTGAGAAATTCAGCGACTGAATGTAGGAAATGCGGTTCGGACTCAACAAGCGGTGAATTGTGGCAACCTACAAGGGTCACGTTCTTCATGTCTGCCAATGAGTTTGCTGGAACACCTGAATGGCTTACGCTCTTTGCGAAATTTACACAGCTTTGACGAAATATAAACGACGAAGATTTCATCGCAAACGGTGGTGCTTGTTGTCAGTTCTGCCCACAGAAGCCTAGGCTTGAACTACTACTGTACATACACCCTAAAACACCGACCTAATTGACGTCACTCAACTGTGACTGGTCAAATGAGCGCTATAAGAAAAGTCCAAGTTAAACTCGATTGTCTACATTTTCTGTCCTTCTGCAATTAAAGCGCATATACGAAAGAACGCATCTTACAGCTCTCATGCAAATGTGATAGAATCCACAATTAAAACAAACTTTAGAAGTCGGTAGGAATGTTTTTTTCAAAATAATATGGTTTTTTAGCATTATGAAACAGAACATCCAGCCATACATCCTCCAGCCCAAAAGCAAGAAACCCAAGAAAACAATCGCAAACATTCAGAAGAACCTACCTTCCAGTACCATCAGGTCCACTGTCCCACTGCACTCCTCAAACTGTATCTTCCATCATAGCTCAATATTCGCATCAAACTGTAGCCTTCCTAGCGATAGAGCTGGGAAGTGCACATGCGGGCCGCCTCGTTTAGAGCCTAGGCCTTGGCATCCTTGGCGTCGAGGGGGCCTGCCTTGCGGGGGCTGTTGTCGGCCTTCTTGTTCTTGCCAGTGATGCGATCACCGAGGTTCTTAAAGAAGCTCTTGATCGCATTCGCCGTCCTCTTCAAAACCCCTGGCTTCTTCTCTTCCTTCTTCTTCTCATCCTTCTTCTCCTTCTTCTCATCCTTCTTCTCATCCTTCTTCTCATCCTTCTTCTCTTCGCCCTTCTTCTCCCCCTCCTCCTCAAGCTCCCTGACCATCGGAATGTCGTCCGCCTCCTCACCCTCCTCATCGCCATCATCCACTCCATCTGCTTCATCCTCGCTCTCGCTCTCCTCCGCAAGAGCTCTCCCCACCTCCTCATCTTCCTCCTCCTCCTCCACATCCTCCTCGTCAACCGCTGCAGCTTCATCCTCCACTTCCTCCAGCACCCTGCCGTCCTCGTCATCCTCATCCTCATCTCTCTCCTCCGCGCCCTCCATCTCCCCACCCTCTTCCCCCTCCACGCCCCTGCCCTCTACCAGCACTCTGCCTTCCGCGCCCTCCATCTCCTCCTCCTCACTCTCCCCGCCATCTTCCACCTCCTCATCCTCGCCCTCTACAAGCACCCTTCCCTCCTCCTCCTCCTCCTCCTCGCTCTCGTCGCCCTCCTCCTCGCGCTCCATGCTCGCCTCGCTTCCATCCTCCCACTCGCCCTCCGCCAGCATCCTGCCGTCCTCCACCTCCTCCGCGCCCTCCATCTCCCCACCCACTTCCTCCTCCTCCTCCTCCACCACCTCTCCATCCCTCACCACCTCTACCAGCACTCTGCCTTCCTCACTGCCAATCTCCTCCTCCCTCTCCTCCACTTCCTCTCCCTCCGCAAGCATCCGTCCCTCCTCACTCTCCTCGTCCTCGCTCGCCTCGTTTTCATCCGCCCAGTCGCCCTCCGCCAGCAAGCGCCCATCCTTCTCCTCCGCCATCTCTCCCTGCACCTCATCCGCCGCGCTCTCCTCCGCCCCCTCCTCCTCGCTCTCCTCCGCGAGGCTCCTGCCCTCCGCGCGCTCCTCAGCGTCCGCCTCGCCCTGCGCCTCCTCATCCCCCCGCGCGGCGTCCGCCAGCGCCCACCCGTCCGCCATCTGCTCCGCCTCGTCGCCTTCGCCTTCGTCCAGCGCCATGCGCGCCCCGCCGCCCACAAGAGCCGCGTTCGAGTCGCCTGCAGCGGTCCACGCGGCGGGAGACGGGTCGCCGGCCATCCCGTTGCCGCCGATGGGACCGTCGCCGCCGCCACTCCACGAGGCCGCAGCGGCGCTCGCCACCACCGACGCGGCCGGCGCGGCGAGCAGAGGCAGCAGCGTGGCGAGGAAGAGCAGCAGCAGCGGCGACGGCGCGCGCGCGCCTCCAAGGCGGGCCATGGTGGCGGGGGAATGAGAGGTGGTGCGGCGCACGCTGGGGACGACGGTTGCGCGCAGCTGGGAGAGCGCGGCGGGCTGAATGGACGGCACTGCAGGCTTGAAGTCGCAACGACGGAAGCTTGCTAGGTTGCTGCTTTCTACGGCGGTCTGAAGCTGGTCTGATATAGAGCTTGTTCTCGTGTGCCTCGATGAGCGAAGCGAAAGGTGATGCCTTTCCCACGGCGTAGCCAGCTCCATTTATGCTGCCCATGGTCACCCAGCGTGCTGCGCCATCGCCACCGTAACGGGCTTGCCTGCCGTGGCTCCGGCCGCCAGTTGCGGCGAGGGCGAGCGTGAACTCGCGCGGCGGCAGCGGTGTGCTTTGCCGCGATCATTGCCGGGTTGACGCTTCAGCTTCGCGGAGAAATGCCCCGCACGCACCCAGTCGCTGGGTGGGTGGAATAGAGGCGCCACGGTGACAGTACGGTGCTAAAGCTTGTCGCTCGCTTGCTTGCGGGCGCCGCGAAGAGCATGAAAGGATGAGTTCAAGGGATAAACGAGGGCGGGGCGCGCAATTATGTGTCAACTGCGCGGACTTGGCTCCCCACTATTTCGCATAAGGCTGGATGATGAAAGAGCGGAAATTATTTTCGCCCACCAGCACGGGACGCGTCCCCGTCTACAAAAACTTGTTATTAACAATATCATTTTCAGTAACATATTCATATGCTACTTGTTTCAAACCTGGAGTGTTTTGGCAGGGTTGATTGTACAAGATACTTGTGTATATTCAGCCATTAAGCCTATTTTTCCATAGGTGGCAGCTACTTCATTGTTTTTTTCCCCTATTTAGGCCTCGCTACTTCATTGTTCAATCATTCTGTAAATTCTCATTCTCGTTATTCGATATCTGCGCACTCTGACAAGTTCATTCATAACACCTGGTATCAGAGCTACTTTCCTAGCCTTCCCCGCTTTTTAGAGTGTATTACCCCTCGGGGGGGGAGGGACGAGTAAGGATGCCTTGGGGTCCAGGAGTTGCGTAGGCCGGCCAAGAGAACTAGTTAGTTGCTATTCGCAGCCATAGTTTTACGGGGCACTCCTTCGGCACCGCCAGATCCTTCGGCACTCTGAACGTGAGTACTATTCCGCTGCGTTATTTACCGACGATTTCGGATTTTGTGAGGCAGCTGGAGTCAGCGGACCTGCGTCGGCGCCTGCACGAAGATTTCGGAGTCGTCAACGGGTGTGGCAGTTGACGCCGTCGGATTTGGGTCAACAGCTGCGCGACAATCTCGGAGCTCGTCTGATGCGGCAATTTACGACAGTGGCTCGTCGTCACTTTGCGGGCATGGCTCGCGGGAGGTGTTTCGGCAGCTGGCGACAGTGGACGTGCGTCACTGTGGCGATAATTTCGGAGCTACTGTTGAAGAAAAGTCGGTTGGGGAACTCGCCAGGCGCAAAAGGAGTTTGCGTCCGAAAAAGTCGGTGGCGAGGAGAGACGACACAAGACTGCCCGACTTAACGGGAGTTAACTGCCATCCCGCCCGACCTGTTAAGTGCGGCGGCTTTTACCGCATTGGCGGGCGCGTCATCATCAATTTTCGGCAGGAGTGCTCGTGGACAGACGGGGCTTCATATCTGCAAACGCTTACGGGCTGCAACGGAAAACGCGGTGGGACGCAGGCGACGAAGGAAATCGGGGCAGGTACACCTCGAAAGAACTCGTGCGACGCTGCGTGCCTGGTGTTGTTGCAAGCTGGCCGGCAGTATCGAGAACAGTTTCCCCTGACCAAGGACGTTGTTTTCGGGGACAGCTGCTGACAACCCACGGTTAAACGGTGTCCAAGGTACCGCCCAATAATTTCGAAAGGGTCGGTACAGGCTGCCGGGACACGCGAGAAGAAACGGCCCAACGGCTAAGCGGGGATTGAAGAACGTTGGGGGGCAGATTAAAAGCCGGTAGAATCGATCTGCGGCCCTACTTCGCCCGAACCTCACCATCCCCACCAATTCCTGGTTCCGACTCATGCAGTCAACCTGCTTGGCCGAATAACGGGGGTGAACACGTGGCCTACCCTGCGCTGGTTAAAGGTACCGGGATTGGTGCCCGTTCAACAGCTGTACAAGAGAAGGAAAAAAAAAAAATCAAAAGTGGAGCTCGCAGCACTGTTATACTCCGACAAAAGCGCGCTGGGTGAACGGCACGCGAAAAAGTCGGGGAGCTGCGAAGAAGAAATGGTGCAGTCTACAGGTTTCTCCTGACCCGGGCGTCTACACGAATTGACGGCGCAGCGGCGAAGCTGAGACCGGGAAGCTGTGGAATTTTTCGTGGCGTGATAGGCACGTCGGGCTGCAAAACGGTTGGGCGACAGTTTCCTTTTAACTAAGGCTGCCCCGACTCCGATAGTTTTTGCCTCTCCACCGTGGCCGAGTTCGCGTGGGCAACAACGACGATACCCCATCCGACAAAAGCGGACGCTGGGTGAACGGCGGGAAGCGGAATTGTCGGGGGGTGAATACGAAAAATATGACGACGGAGGGAAAGTTGTGGGTGATCCAGCAGATGACTTGAGTGATAGGTTGAGCCCGTGCACCAATCTACCGCGAATTTCGGAGTCTATTCGGTAGACCCCCGAAAGGGTTTGATATCGTTACATGGAGGCGCGGCGAGCGGTACATTGCCAAGGATACCTGGGATTCGCTAAGTAGTTCCGGCGGGTACGAAGATGGGTGAACATCGGAGTACCAGGGAAAAAACGGCGGAAACGTCGGGGCTATATGGCGGAGAATAACTTCGGGACTGCAGCCTCAACCACGATTTTCGGGGTTATCTTAAAAAAAAAAAAAAAGGAGTTGAAGCTGAGGGTGTTTCTTCGTTTCTTGGACCCACGAGTATTTAAACGTACACCGCGGGACATTCTTCAGGAGCGTAGGAGCAGCCGAAGTTTCGGAATTTAACTGCCGGTGACGAGCGATGAGGTGAAACATCGCAAAGCGCCAGTGGGAGCTTACGTGGTTTTCAGTTAAGCGACATCGGCTGGAGCAGTCGACGACGGGGTCAACGGCGTTGATGCCACTAGGTTCCGTGAAATTCGGTCTCGGAAGACCCAAGGCAGTCCCCGGTTCTCGATTGAACCCACACGCTGGGGTCGGGTAACCGAAGGAAACTGATGGTGACCAGGTGGGCGGCTGTAGCACGTCCGAGATTTTCGGAGGCGATCTGCAACAGCAACTGCGGAGTTTACGGGGTTGTTTTTGACCGACAATTTCGGAGTTCGACGAAGGACTTACCGGTTTTACGGCGGGAAGCGCCGACATTTTCAAGGGATTTCATCGGCGTTTGGTTAAAACGCGCGTGACATTTACGTGGGGCAACAGCGCGAGCACACACGGATTTTCAAGGGGTACGAACGACTTACGACGAACTGAAGAAGGCGTCAGCAACAGTGAAGGGGGGGAGAGACAGCTGCAAAATTTCATCCCTGCCCACGAACCATCGGCGCATTACGACAGATTTCTCGGAGATTCCATCCCAATTCTTCTGCCAACAAATCGCCATCGACCCGCCCACGACAAAATAGATCTTTTCAGCCACGTCAGGTCCTGCCAGCTGCAACTGCTGCAGATTCTGCATGATTCTGGCGTAATGAAGACAAAATTGTTCAGTTCGAGCAACACGGATTTCCCATCTCGGTTTCTGGTCTACATCTACGGGTTCGCCCTGAAAGATTTTAGGGGCACGTCATCCCTGGTTTCGACAGCGACATTTTCACACCGACGCGTTTTCACTGGAATTTCTTCGCTCAACGATTTCCACGTGGGACTTAACAGCTGGTTTTGATTTTCAGTCCTCTCGGCGCAGCTGCGGGAATGCTTTCGTGTACTTCTTGGAGGGGGGGAGAAAGTGCTTTGCACAGTTTTCTTTCCTTTGCGTTTTTCTTGGTCCTTTTCTGACTTTGTCAGGTTACGTCAGCACGACGGACGATCGCGATCACACCAACACGATCAACGGTTCCTGCTCAATCGCGTTCGAATTCGCGTCAGCAGTTTCCCTCCAATTTCGCGACATCTTCGACCCTCAGATCTACACCTGCGCGATCTACGGC